GCTCCTGTTGCGCTCTGCACCAACACCTGTTGAGAATTTTCGTTCCAGAAATTTCCTGTGACGATCATGGGACGTCTGTGAGCACTCACCAAGCTCAAACAACTTTTTTCTGCATGCGTTACAACGATTAGCAGTCTCGAACAGGTACTGTTCTTTGTAAAACATTCCTTATGTTATCGTAATAAGGTGTACCATGTGCAGCGAACCTAAATGCACATAGAAGGATTTGATATCACATGACACTAAGGCAACTTGAAAGAAGTAGGCAGCTTATAGTAGCGATTCTAGTCGTTCCAAATTCGCTTGAATATTCTATCAAAAATTTAAAATAAGTGCTGTATGCATGGGAAAGCTTCAGAATTGACTTTCTCTCCGGTGATTTTTCAAAAACATTGCAAAAAGTATAGAACATGCATTAATTTGCGGCCGGATCACATTTACATGCTGCCGGTTTATCGATATGGACGTCATTGTTTCATTAAGTCAGAGAATAAAACATAGATTTTAAAGCGGACAGCAATCATAACAATTCTGCTTAGCATGATTCGTGCACCATACGATTATCCAAGACCTGTTTGCTTCCTCTTCTGCAATTATAGTCTGCGAGCATTCGGACTGGGGATCCTTCCGTCGCGTGCATTTCATCGCAGAGCGCGTGCGCTCGTGAACCCAAAGGGCATTGTGGGTGCGGATGGCTACTGCTCAGTTTACCAGTTTTTTTCTTCCGCTCTCGTTCACTGCTGCTCTCCCTTTCTTCATTCTCCTTGTTCTCTTTTCCTATCCTCGAATTTGCTCCTTCTTTACTACTTCATAGCCATCCCATAAGTCAATAATCTGTTTGCATTTGAACCATTTTAAACTTGCTTTTTGCTAGTGTGTTCAATCAAAGAGGGAGTTTTCAGATCGGTGCTTTAATATGTTTCACCTCATATCTAATTAGTAAGATGTTTTTGTTTTTCTAACTCCATCGCCGTTTGCACCACTTTCGAAGAACGTTGTTCTATAAGTTTTTTGACGTTGATGTGTAATGCCACTTTGAAAAATACATTTAGAGTACCTCTATTGTGTCCCGTTAATGTTTCCCTCTTTTTTTGCCGTGTACTTCGTGTTTAACGAATATCCTATAACATAGACAGTTTAAAAACGGTGCCGACTACTACTCTGTTTTTGAGGGCTACTTTTTCATTTCTTCTAATTGTGGGAATCGTCTCGTTTCTCCAGCATGACGATTCTTCCATGTTGTCTATGCGGCGGTAGGCGAGAGAGAAGGGGAGGCGTAACATCGCCGCTCTTATTGGCCAGAGCTGCAGCTCCGCGTACCGTAATCTCCGTTTGCATTGCTTCGTTCTCTTACACTAAAAAGTGGCTGACTCGTCTTCGTTTTCGGTTTCACACCATTCTTCTTGGCGAGTAGCTCCAAAGCAACTATTATAAAATGTTTCACGTTTGGTAATAATTTAGACCGTCATCGTAGAACCGTTTTCTTAAAGCTTTTATTTTTTAAATTTTCTTAGAAACTGGGGTGTTCCATGTCAGGAGTGGCTTTTGTCGGCAAAATTTAATTACGAGCATTAGGTAGTACTTTTAGAGTTTATTGCCATATCTTTCTATTCGACGATAAAAGGTGAGTGTTTCTCTGTTATTCTGGCGTTGTTTTTGAAAGAGCCTAGATTTAACAAGTTTCTGAAGTTTGTCGAGTTGTTCTGTCGTGACCATCTACCCAGCCAACATTTGTTGCAGTTCATAGGAGCTAATCAATAGTTTTGGTCACCAGATCTCACAGCTCATCAGTAAGCGACAAAATATGGTAAAGCTGGAAGCCTGTTACTACCTCCGACACACTGGAAACTGCCATGTTCAATCTACACACAGTGTTCGCAAGCAATCCCTAGAAACCAGGTACTTATACAGCGCGGAATGCTGAGTGCAGACTTCGATGACAATCAGTTGTCAGTGAGCGGTCATTCTAATTCTGCATCGTCAGAGATTTTGCTTACTGGTTACTGTTAGTCACAATAAAATTAAGCCAAAGCATTAATTTGCTGAGCCATTCGCCCTTTTTCCGGCCGCACGATATCGATTTTTCTTACAAAAAAAGCGCGTGCGCGCGCGTCTGCGGCAATGGCCGCGCCTCGTCCGCACGCTCTCATGTAGGCAGTCGCTCGTCAGCCCAAATCCCGAGTGCTGGTGCTGAAGCCACTATCGCCACACAGACTCGCCACGATGTCATGCCCTCCAGTTAGCTTGTCAGCCGAACCTCCTGCCCTCAAGCGTCTACCATGTACGGGAGTTCGCCTCAGTGCGCAGCTGAGGTAGTTTTAAATGTTATGACTTAGTTGTTCATAACATTTATCCTACTTCGTCTGTTCCTGAGATATGCAACTCTTCACCACTTTGTTTCCATATATCACGTAAAAAGACCCCAACTCTAAAAAATCCTTCAGGATAGTTTATTTGATTGGTTTTCGAGTTTCTATTTTTATACGGAGGATCAGTGTGTTCCGATATTTGGGGCAAATCTTCAGCAAGGATTGGCGTATGCCAATATTTGGTGAAAGACAATGATAAATCCATGTTTTAAAACCTTGAAAGATAACAAAGATCATTACTAAAGTAAAGGATTTCAGGGAAGTCCGGTTTTTGCTCCCAATGATTTCAACGGATTTTTTAATAGTTAGCTAAGCAACAAAAAAGCCATTGGCTGTCTCCAAATAAAATGAATCATTATGTCCGCACATCCGATACATTCTCATTAAAAACTGCCCGAAATTCCATTTCAAGTGAGTATATTTTTTCTAGTTCTGGATCTTTTAGAAGTCAGATGTTGTGTAGGTAAAAACATCGCCCATCGCCAATACGTGAATTATAGTCACGTAAGTTATTGTATTCAGACCGAAAGATAGGCGATTGGTGTAATATTGAAATCAGCTAGTCATGCTGACTCATAGAGTTTAAGCTCAAACCGTCTACTGGTATTCCACTGGGGCTCGATGACAGGATATGGACTGCTGCCTCTAATGGGACGTGCCTGAGATTCGACTAGTTGATGTGAGAACCCAGTTGTGAAAGTGTTCTTACGAAAAACTGTGTCATTATTTCTCACCGGTTATCTATTCAGTAACTTTTTAGAAACCGCAATCTGTGGAATTTATTTTTTTCACGCATTGCCTTGGTAGTTTATCTGATTCTGCCTGTTACATCGCTGATGATTGATCAGTCAACCACTTGAAGAAATCACAGCCTTCCTTAAGGAATCCAAGTCGGAAGGCAGTAAATTTCCCATCTTCAAGAGCCAACAGCAGCTTGTGGTTATGAAATTGGAAACCCATGCATGGCTACTTATGATTCGAGGGAAAGAATGCAGGCCAGTGGCTAATATTCCAGTTAAGAATGAGTCCGATAAGTTCTAATGACGTGCAGAACACACACACGTGTTGTTCCACTGCTTCTGTGGATGACGCTTTCGGAACAATGAAACAAAGTGAGGAAGTGCTGGTGCTCTGTGTCATGTGAAGATGGACCGTTCAAGTAAGCTAAACTCTATACAATTTTATATATATAAAATTTAAATAAATCTCTATAACGTTGCAACTATCAGTGCGCTATCAGTGAGGGTTAAAGTTCATGGTAAACAGCAAGCCATACATGTGTCTCTATTTCATGTCTCATTGAAAACGACCTCTATTATAAGAAAGCAAAGTATCTATGATATCTATATCAAAGGCCAGCCAGGACAATCTTTAGGGAAATACAGCGAATGGCAGTTTAAGGTGTTTAAGAAAGCCTAACCAAATAGCGACGATTTTTCTACAACATAACGTGAAACTATGGTAGCAGTCCCAGATACACAAATCTAGTTTATTTTTTTGTTTATGTCTTGATAATGTATGTGTATTTGTAAAGTTCATCAGCTCTTCTACAATAGAAAACGCGACTCTGCTATTTCGTGTTACAAAGGAGTCCTTTTTTATGTTACTTTATGAGGTGTTAATTTAATGGACGAAGCATGTAGTCACTCACTGTGTCTGGCCGGTTAGTGTCATCTTACGTATTTTTGAGGAATAACATATGTGTTCGCTCACTAGAAGAGGAGTGTATCATCCAACAATTGATTCCGCCAACAGTACTCCACTAATGGTAATCGATATCGTTTTTTGTATTGTTGTTGTCGTCTACATCCGATGAAAACACGATAATTCTTCCATAGTATGGCATTTATATCGACCGCATACAAGGTTTAAGGCCGAAGCCTGGAAGACTGCACTAGCAAGGTTGCGCATACTTGAGATTGGTGTGAATTGGCGTATCAACAGAGCTGTCTACAAGTCAGTTTTTGTTTTTCCTCAGCAGCTGCACAACTGCAAAAAATCACTGAGGAGGTGTCACCGTAGCTCTAGGTTAAACGTTCATTAATCATTCAGTTAATGTACATCCAATACAGAATTAATGGCATGAATGAACGTGTGTAATATGAAGCATTGCACTACCTCGAATAGCACTGCTTGTAACTGGTTAATTGCACGTATTCTATAATAGATATTTTCTAAAGCAGTTGTATAACATCAGTTCTTAATCCTCCTAGTAACCTCAGAACGCTTTCTAAAACTGGACTAAATACGCATAACTTGCAAAATTTAGCGTAGCAAATCCATTTTAAAATAAACCTTTATGTTTCTCAGAAGGAGAGCGAAAGATAAGGATACGCTTTATTACTTGGAAAACTCAAAGCCTATCACTAGGAAATATGGATGGTATTCGCTGTGCGGTGTGTTAAGTATTAAATGCTGAAACGGTGATGGGCTACTTCAATAAATGAAGAAAACACACAACAAGCTTTCTGAAAATTTTGAAATTGGAGCGTTCTATTTATGAGCACTATTTATGAGCACAATAATAATAAAATGACATTGGGCTGCTGTTTGGGTAATGTCCAGAACAATGAAAAAAAAACAATGCTTTCCTGTGCAACACTTGAACACTAAACATTATTTACTTCGAGGTCACACACCGAATCGTTCTAGTAATCTCAGTCGCTGTTCTTCAGCGGACAACGCCGAGTACTTCTCCATGAGCTTCTCGCCACGCGATGTCGGTGTGCGCATTAATGTTGGCTGCACGTAATTGTGGTTGAACTCGGACAGACGTCGACGCCACTGAAATGTGAGTTGAGAGGAGGCTAAAGAGTGGATATTCAATGGCAAACGTTCTAGTGAAAATACTTGCATACTATTCACACATGTTAATTTGTGAGCAAGGAAAATTTCAGAGCACAGTAAACTGACGTAGTTTGATCCACGCATTCCGATGATCGCTTCAACACCGGCCATCATGTCATCACCGCTCTGAAACAGTTGGTTTGGCTGGCTGGGACCTGCCATACTTCTCTGTTGCACTTAGAGGCCGGGCGTCACCGAATCCCTCATCACTCACGCCGCGTCGCGCGCTCTTCATCATGCCAACAAACACTACCATCATGTTTCATGGACTCTTCAGTTTTCCGTCCATATGGTAGCGAATCTTGAAGATTTAATTTTGTCATAAAACGTTTAATGACTTACGCACATGAGTTAACACCTGCTGAGTAACTGTTTTTTGTTGCGGCTCTTGTGTTTTCACATTAAGAAGACGCACCAGTGGTTTGATGGTTGTGCCCTAGAAAAGCATATGACAAAACTTGTAGTGATTTGTTCGAACTTCACCGAATAGTGTTTGCGAAGAGTGTTCATTGGGTCGGTAGTCCGAAAGTGATGGTTAGCAACGAGAGTACTGGTTTGTACTTTGTTTGGAGTCGGAAGAATTTACTGGCATGTAACGGCATACAGGGTTGCACAGCGCAAAGGCAGAAGTCGCATACGTTCATTGAGAACACAGAGCTTTTCCGGCAGACGCGGATTATAGACATAAATCACGAGTCCCCTGAGTTAGCGAAAACTAATTCGCAGCTTTGGGGTCTCACAGAACGAATGCATATATGCATGCTTATTCAAACCAGTCGATAGTTGACGAAACCGAAGGTCGCATAAGTGCTAGTGGAGTAATGGCACCAAAATTGTAAACTGGAAAAGTTCATAACTTCGTTCTGGCTGGCCATATGTGCGGTAACGATAATGTCACAATATATAACTTTTATCTATTGCCCATTAATTCTTCACGGCAGGGTAATGTGTGGAAGACAACCACAATGATGCTGAGATATTTGCAAAACCTGGACCACAGGCCAGATCGAAACGCGATAACGCTTTCCGATGATCATCATCTGTCCATAGCTTTTCATACAGAATGGACAACTGCATCGTTTCGTTTTTACAGGCTTGAAATATTTCGTGCAAGTTTCAATCCTTTATATTGAAGTTATTGTTTTCTTATGTAGTATGTCTAGCTAAGTCTCTGATAGGCAAATTTCTTAACCAGAGATTGGTTAGGGCTTAAGAAAACTTTGATATTTACTATGGTTTTATGAAGTACGAGTTTATGAAATTATAACGAACTACTAATTGAAATACAATCACAACGGGCCTGAGATATGAGCGACAATCAGAACCTCAGATGGGCTTCGAAGACGCGATTGCCCATTCCGGGATCTCCTGCTATTGACCACGCTAAATGAGGCCTCTTACCTTCATACTCTAAGCTCTATGTGGATAGAAAAAAAGGGAGGGAGAAGAACAATAGAGCAAATAAAATGAGTGAACAGGTGGACAATGAAAAAGAATGAATAGAGCGCTAGAGGAAGCAAAGCAAAGGTCTCGGTTGGTGTGATGGATAGCAGATGAGCCCGCAGGAAGTGTAATGACGGGTTCGACGCACAACTGAGGCCCCGAGTTTTGCGATATTTCAACACCTTGTGGTTGTATTTCAAATAGTACCCTCCCATGAAAAAAATTGGAAGTATACAGAAGCTAGGATAACTGAGTAACAAGGATTATATAAGAAATACCAAACATAAGGCCTCAACTATGACTTTTTGTACGAGAATCTTATTTTGATATATGTTTTTCTAATTCGATAAATACTCATAAACAATTCGAACTAGATGCCTTAGACTCCGACTTAGTGGTAATTCAGCACAAGAATTCAACTGTTTTCCACTCACTAAATGGAAAGCAGACTTAGCCAGCTCACTTCTTTATCATTTCGCTTCTAATATATTGTTGAGCACAGAGTTCTGTTACTTTGACAGTACTAGGTGTTCATATAATTTCACGAAAAGTGAGTTAGGCTCAACTTGTAATTAACGAAATCAGTTAGAATACCTGAAAGAACACAGTGATGACAATAACCACTACTGTCGTTGAAACCAGCATGTCTTTGGCAGGAATCGCATCCTTGTCTGAAAGTTATGTAAAACGTTGTAAAACGTGGCTCTTGAGAAAAATTCCAAGTAAGTATTAGCCACAAACCTAATGTCATCACCAAACCGTAACAGATTGCGCCACGAAGACCACCGTACCCCATGATTACCTGATCCATAAGACCGATTTTTTGGACGCGTTTCTCGTTCGCAATCCATGTTAGAATCATCACTCCTAGGCGAGTACTTAACTACATACGAGACTTTTATGTAAAAAGGAAATATTCCTATCGTTAAGTAAACACTTCATTAGGCAACGCTTGTCGCTATTCAGCAGAAATTATAGGAAAACTATGAACATTCTCTTCACCATCATATTACCATGTTCACGAAAAACTACATTTATTTTGCGCACCAATTTCACTTGCCGTACGGCTAATACTTGTCTTCATATTTTACCAGGATAAAGTTCAGCTTTTCTGGAGCACACAAAATTTGAACAGGAGGAGCACGTTTAACGGCGTAGAAAATGCCTCCTGATGTATCGTTGGCTTTGCTGCTCCACGCTAAACCCTTAACAGTTTAAATATTGCCTTAAATGCTTCTGGAGCTTTAGTGGTGATCAAGTTGACGAAATATTTTATAAAAGTCGTGTCCATTCTTAAGGCTATGGAACAAAGCTTCTTCCTTTGAGTTCATAAAATTCTCAAGTTCTCCACTACTTTATTGAAGCAGAAATGATCTCCTTGTCGCAAAATCTACTCCGCCGTGAACATTCTAAATACTAAAGGGATATTATTGGGGAAAAATGACTTTCTAACCATGATTTTCTCACATAAAAAAAATGTTTCTTCCATTCCGCGATTTCAACAGTTCACCTCCTCATCGTGGCTGGGTGGACGTCGGACTGAGATGTACAGCTGGGGACTCATCCCCTGGCAGGCTCTCCCACGCTGAGAAGGTCTCCGGCCTTTCCACCAGGAACCCTAGTTAAGAGCAAACCAATACCAGGACCCACCACCGTTCTGGTATCAAACTCGGATGGTGGTAATTCTCCCTCGGATCCACAAGGCTGCGAATGGCTGCTATGGTGAAGACCTAGAACAGATTTTGGCCAGGCTGGCCTCGGGAATCGAAGGAACCACAACGGCTTAACCAGCAGGGCTTCGAAGAATGGAGGTTATGCTGTGCCCGCACATCCAGTGAAGCCGAACAATTTAAGTATCAAGTAAGTAGGTATTCTACGATTTCTGTGATGCGACCCGTTTAGACGAACTCATAATAAAGTCATCCTCATCTCACTTGCTTGCTTTTTCTTTATTCTACATATTTTTAACAGCATTATGTGGACAAGTACTGGTTTGTTATAACACAGTATTTTCGATGAAACCCTACCAATGAATCGGCAGCAGATACAAGCAGTGACTGTCACTAGCGCAAAAGTGAGGTCCCAGGTATGATTCTTGGAAAACGTCGAAAGGCCGAGGAAAACGAAGATGATCGCCTCACAGCTGAAAAGATAAGTCGTCATCTCTTGCAGTATGAAAAACCCAGGTGCTCGTCTCTCTACCGCCTACTCTAGCCAATGCTCGCCACAAACTCTTTCCAAAAGCAACGCATTGCTCCTTTGTTTCAAGATTTTTTACTTCTTCCACCATAGCTAAACATGTTTTCGACTATAGGAGTCTGTTTCTATGGTGAAATATTGATTTTGCTATAAACAATCTTGATGTCCGTGGTTTTGATGATTAAATTCTTTTTTACAGCCCATTGAGTACACTCAACAATTGCAAGGTGTTAATTTATCGGCTTCTACCAAGAAGTTTCCGAGAAGTAGAAGCGAGCAATTTCGTAAAATTTTTGGAAGTAACTTTTCTGAAGTCGGACATCTATGACATACGCAATCACAAAGTTTGAGAGGACGTTTTGAGAAACATTATCTCACCATGACGATAGTGTTTTCAGGGAGTATTTCACTGTAGTTAGTGCTTTTTCGTTTAGATTTCCAGCAATGTATGGTTTCATCATGAGACCGCATGTGACAATTCTGAAAATCAATGCATCTCGAAAATTAAGAAGTACCTACTGAATGGAATGGCTGATGGAAAAAGTTCAATAGAACTAGCTAAGAGATAGGCAAAACGAAGGACCCGGATGGTGTGGTGGTGAAGAGCGCTACTCCCCGGAAAGGACAATAGCGCGCGTTCGTTCCCCACCGCATACACCTGAGGTCTGGAGTTTTGCAAATATCTCAGCATTATATACGAGTTATACCTACTGAATCTTAGAATCATTTTTGTAAAATGGAAACCACAAAAAAACAACGAACGCGAGAATGCCTGACATGTGGACGCTTTCCGCGATAAGGTAAGATAAGTACGGAAAGAAAAGACAAACAAGTGGTTGCACGATCGGCACATCATATGACCACCTAAAATAATCATTCGACTAACTGCCATGTTCGAGAGCTAATTTTACCTTGACAATAGAAAAAACTGAGGAACTCAAAATTCTTGCGCTCTGAACATTTTCTGCTTTTCTCACCAGCTTTTTATGCCGAACAGAAAACAAACTGATACCGTGTCCGCGCACAGCGCTTTGTTTCACAAAGCAAATTACACTTATCAATTCAGCTCTTGCTCGAAGGTGCTTCATTTTAATTCGTTTGTTCAGAAACGTTCGTTTTATTCAACTAATTCGTTGTTATAGCGACCTGATTAAATTTCGACCTTAGCGTTTTTTTAGGATGATGTAAATTTTCAGGGTCACAAATGGTTTTTCAAGTTTCTACTTCTCTATCGCGCTACGGCGGTGTTATACATATTTCTACAGAATGGGAATATTTTGCTAGCAGATGCACTCATGCTCAACAGGAGAATGGCACTTTAATTATGAAAACCAGCCAATAGCAAATATCAATAACCCAACAACAGAAGTTGCTATCGCCTTGGCAGAAGGTTACTCAGGGAACCATAAATCCAATAATTCGGGTATCCGAATATTGAATCTAAAATAGCTAGTGATTTTTTCGATATTAACTCAGCATTCTGTAATGTTTACTTTTTTATTTTCTGTCTTCTATTATTTTTATGGCGGGGTATTAAGCGAAATACAACCACAAGATTGCTGAGATATTTGCAAAACTCCGGACCGTAGGTGTTTGTGGTGGGGAACGAAAGCGTTATTGTCCTTCCCGGGGAATAACGCGTTCACCACCACACCATCCGGGTCCTTCGTTTCGCCTGTGTCTCAGCTAGTTCTCTCGATCTATGCCGTCAGCAATCAGAACTAGTTGAGAGACAGGTTAAAGGAAGGACCCGCATGGTGTGGTGGTGAACGCGTTACTTCCCGGAAAGGACAATAGCGCGTTCGTTTCTCACCGCAGACACCTGCGGTCCGGAGTTTCCCAAATATCTCAGCAATCTTGTGGTTGTATTTAGCATATTGTCCATAGAATTCCAGGGCCTACTTTTCTTCCCACATGATTATGTCAAATTCGTAACACTATCAGTTGTGGTTAACCGTTTAACACCTTAGCTTCTCACTCCTCACGGTTCACACTCTCCAATCATTTTAGACTAGCACTCACACTATTACGGTATTCGTGGCTTTTTGTCTAGAGCTTTGATTCTCTGGTATATGTGAATATAGTTGAACACCACTTTGTGGTAATGAAACCCAGTCAGCTATCTTAAATTATAACCAGTTTTATCCGCGAACTAAAATCTGAGCTGTTGGCCTTTGCAAATTATCACTTCATGTTTTTCAAATGATTTTACTCCACTTCACTTACACTTTCTTGTACACTGGGTTTCATGGCTTTCCGCTGACTAAGGGAAGAAAGAGTAAAAGTAAAAAGCATAAGCTAGATACTTTAACGTCATGGAAAGTGCATGCATTAAGAATGTTTTCGAGTGAAAATAAACATGATGTCAGAACTCATTATGATTGAGCAAGTCCATACAAATTGTTATGGTCTGATTCGAAAAAAGCTATTTGCTGCACATCGCATTTTGTCGAAGACAGATATTTTGATGAGTTAAATTCTCTTTACAAGCCTGGCAGCGATTCCTCGAATTTGTACCACAAGAGTCGGAAGAAAATCTGTTGTTAATATGGGAAGTACTTTCAAATCCATGCTGTTTCGAATTTTTTCTATTTAATTCCATGCACTTATTTCGATCGTATTAATCTACTAGTTTCTGTTATGTATTCTTCACGAGGATAGGAATAAAGCTCTTGGTGTTGAACAATCCCTGAGGTATATGCCGTGCTATCGACTTCATTAAGTATCGCAGGAGGTAGTTGAATACATATCTCGCCTATACATTGCACCTGAGGTGCCCAACCGACGTAATGTGCCAGTGCTGCTAACCCCACAGACGAGTCTGGCACCAATTAACCGACCCCGAAGGAAGGAGGACTCAGTGAGCATGGGGCACGGGATCGATTCCAAGTGCGCTGCGGTGCCCCTAACTGCTGCACTACGCGCGTCCCTATTAATTCCTCATACATTCGCTAAAATAACTATCTACCATCGTTAATGCCTTATCTGCATTCTACTTTTAATATTTCACTAATTTCCGATTTAACAAACTTTACATCACTAGGGCAACAGTAGTATTGATTGCAAAGTGAAACGCATCCATAGACAACTCTACCATACACTAACTGCGCATAGAAACGGGCCCACAAATAGACATATCTGCATAGATATGTATTAGTTAAATGTATATACATATATAATCACAGTGATGCTGAAATATTTGCAAAACTCCCGACCGCAGGTGTCTGGTGTGGGGAACGAACGTGCTATCACCTTTTCCCGGGGCTAACGCGTTCACCACCACGCCATGCGGATCATTCGCTTCCTCTGTCTCTGAGCTAGTTGTGGTGGTGAACGCAGAGCGGATTAGCTCTCGGAAAGGGTAATAGCGCGTTCCTTCCCCACCACAGACACCTGCGGTCCGGAGTTTTGCAAATAACTCAACATTATGTGTCACAGATACTACCTTGCCGTAAAAAATTGTAATTGGCAGTAAATAGAAAGCTAACATTATGTATATATTCATAAAATGCTTCGAATCAGTTCAAATGTGAACGCCTACGACTTCGTATCTATTTATCAGACATCTTCTACATTTACAATCGCACATACTACAAAGTTGTAGAATACGAAACTGGATACGGAGACACACACACTGCATACATACACACACACAGAGACACAATCATACACACGTGGATATACATGTACACAAACAGATACATAGCACATATATATATATATATATATATATATATATACATAACATACAACACATACATAAGCGCGCACAGCTCCCATGGAATTCACTCATTGATTAACACGCCTATAAGATCAGATAGGTAGTAGAACGATATGTTTCCGTAATCAATCACTTACTTTTTAGCAGTGATAAATATGACAATAATAATGTTAATAGCATTAATAGTGACAATAATGATAGCAGCATTAATAACAGTAGATAATGATCTATTCAGTTTTATTGCTGGAGGGCGAGAATAGCTTTTATATTAACATTAACCTCCCCTAGTTTACTTACTTTTTTTTTGTAATTCAGCTGTACTTTCGTTGCAGATTACCTTCATTTCATTTTATTACTCAATTTATTTTACCTGTACATAGACATGGTAGACTTGTTAAATCAGCAAATAGAGAAATAGGCGAATTCTGTAACTGACTTCGTCGCGAAAGCGGTCACACAGACCCACACCAGACCGATGAGTATTCCGCCTGTGGACACCATGACGAAATTGATGAATGCATGTAGAAAATCCTCTCGTATTAAGTTTTCGCCTCCAATTTTTGCCATCGAACTCAAGGAATGGTACAGGACCTGAATAACGAATTGAAAATAACCAGGTCAGCGTTTTGCCTTCATTTGAATATTGTAATAAATTTCAAGTAATGAGTAATTTCAAAAAATTCACTAGTTCCCGATGGCACGTCTTGCCTTTCTTATAAGTGGGTTAACTCCCATGAAAACCTATTAATACACAACTGGAATGCTGAACAAAGCTTTATAAACAAGCAGTAAGCGATTTCAAAAGCTGAAAACAGACAGCGAGATCAACAATGACATTGTTACGCACTGTGTAAACCTTAGGTTACAATCACTCTAAATGAGTAATACGGTTTGTGATGAAAAGAATCCAGGATTTCCTAGAGTTCTCGATGAGTTTTGGTTGTTGGAAATCATCAACAGCTTTATACAATGAAGAAAAGCGAATTCACCAAAGATTTTCGTCCAAGGAACAAAGACTTAACGTATCGTTAAGATTTTCGATGTGTTCAAACACATTGATACTTCATGTTCATCCGCGATATCGGTCAGCTCTATGGCCTATCGATTCCCAATGACCTGAACGTGTTACTCAAACCTGCTTTTAATACTGACACTATATCAATGAACTGAAATCCGTAGTTTTGTTAAACAACAATAAACCCCCACACACGTCACCTACAATGCGTTTCAAGTTGAACAATTTTATTCGTCGTTGCATAAAGTGTAGTAGGAATTCTGAGATTAGTCAGCTTCTTCGTGCACAAGCGATTCCACCGTACGTTGTAATATCTCTGTTCGAACATCTCCATTTGAGTGGCAGAAGATCATGGTTGAAGCAAAAAACATGCCTGATGTACAAACTCACTCAATGATGAAAGCTGGAATACGGTGAAGAGGGTCTAGGCTGATGTCACTTCACAGCTGCGCTTCAATAGCTCGTTCTCACATGAAGTGAAGACTTGAGCAATCCCTCCATTCATTTTGTTTTGTTGTCATCTTCAATCACAGAATAAGCACAGGTTTCATGTGTGTCTTATTACGGTATGAGTGCTTAAGGGTTTTTCTCATTAAGTGTAGAGTGAAGTAGCTTTTCTGGATACCCTGAATAAGCATGCAAGCTGATGCACAGGCTTCCATAAGGAACAGTTTTCGTCCATCGTGAACAGGAAGTTTACTGTCTTGTGACTAAAATCTTCCCAAGACGCTGATGATTCCTACGATTGCTAACGGAATCGATCAACAACAATGTAAAGGCAGAATCAAATAAGTTCCCAAAGTATTTAGCGAAAAAAAATAAATTCCACAATTCCTGGTTAAGTAACTGTTGGGAAGTAAATGGACAGTTTTTGTACGAACATGATTTAATGATGGTATCTTCCCGCAAGATAGCGGGGCTTCAGATATATTTAATGAACAGACAGCATGTTGAGATAGTTCACGACAAGGAACTTTTATTGTAAAGGCTGTTGAAAGACTCTACTAGGATTTTTCTGTTCAATTGAGCGACTTTGTCTTCATAACTGGTAGACGTTGTTCTAAAGTCGTCACCTCTCTTGAAGAGTACTAACATATAGATGACTCCCTTTAAGCTGTTGGCTACCAATTTTACTGCTGACAATTATTAAAAGAGTAAGGTGGAATTTTCAGCAGATTTGAATGAGACTTGTGGGATTTGCCCATCTCATTAATAATTGGAGGCAGAATCAGTGTCATTTCTTCATAAGCACCTCAAGAACACGTTTCCAGAGTCTCCTTTTCAACTACTTTTCATTACCTCTTAACCTTCCAACACCTTCGAGTAGCATCCGATAATATTAGATCTTACATAACGCTTGTTTAACGTCCACAACAATAGGATTTCCACAGCAGTTTTTTTTCAATGAGAGCATCTTTTTATTGACGCTCCATTAGAAGTCTAAGCATCTCTCCAAAAGATCAAATTTTGAAGTTGTGAAGCCCCACAAAACCACTGAAACCCATGAAGAGCCTTTCACCCGTGGTTCTTTGAGCCTTTGTTAAAGTTGTCTTCGGGGTATACCTACTAAAATTTGTCCAAACATATTTCTATAACCTAAGGATTCTCGGATTCGCTTGTAGGTTCGGCTGATAATTGAGGGTGCCCCTTATTTATTACCGTTGAATGTCGGCGAATTGATCCTTTTATGGTGTATAGATAGCTCTGATAAATCATTCTTAACCCTCCACCGGAGGTAGTCAGAAGCCTTTGTGGATCAGATGTAGCTTTTTTTGATAAATTTGGTAGCAAATTGCTAGCACAGAGAGAAAGGGAGTCTCATATGGGTAGTGTGGAGTCGAATCAGCCCTCATTTATTACGTAGCCTCCTAAACCGCTGCTGTTCTCACATCGCTATAGCATATTCCTGATATGAGTCTTAACACGGGGAAAACGTTTACATATCCTGTCCAAAAAATGATGTTAATTAAACTGACTAAACCTGAAGTGCAGGCATCCGCTTTCTTTCAAATCGATCTTCTTAAAAAAACATCTGCACGAGTGAAATTCGCTGCTTTTTCAGGTGCTTCTGATTTTTCTAACTTCTGTTTCAAATTTTTTGATACAGTTATCGCCGTAGTTGCTCGTCCGATTCTTGCGTTATAATTCCTAACCAGAAATTTTGGCAAAACAGTTTTGCAGAGTAGGATGAAGTTCTTTGTGGGATACAGGAGGTGACGAATCGAGAACAAATGTCATTGGTAAGAAACAGTTTCTACAAAAGCATCAAATGGCATTAAAGCGATTGTGGAATGAGAAAGCTTTCGTACGACTTTTGGAAAAGTTTTCCCATCTTATGTATAGATGAATAGGGTACACATCGCTGATTTGCTGTGATGAGTTAGTATGTCTACTTTGCGATGAAGTTGAAAATCTACTCTGTTTGATCGAATCGAAGGTCCGAAGTTAGTAAGGCAAAGTTTATAAAGCAAAATAGGCGTAATAGCTCAGTATTCCTCGAACCTTCTAGTTCTTTGGAAATCGTACGATTCGACGGGGCAAAATATAGAATTGAGTTTGAGAACGTTGATATGAGCATGTTGCAACTCAACGATGTACTACGTATTTACGCCATCGGGTAAAATAGTCTTAGAATGCTGCGCACATCGGAAAACAGCGGCCGTGGTCCCAACAAATTCATTTTTACCACTATTTTTCTTTTAGCCGTTTATATAAGCACCCGTACACTTCTAAATGTGTGGAAGGAACACTCTCGATGAAGAATTGCCAAATCTTCGAGGTAGTAACAATATACTTTTTGAAAAACAGTGGTTCTAACGTTGATGGAGATTGAGTTTAACAAATTCGACAGGATTATTACACAGCTATGAGCAAAGCAGCCATTAAAATGACATAAAGAAGAGGGGAGCTGATTGATCACATTCATTCAGACTAACGTGAATAACGATTTTTAGCATTTGCGGGATTCTGGAAAGAGCACTGATTTCTGCACTTCGAATTGCTTCCAGTATGATATCGAGTTCGGATCCAGAAAAAATTCATCGGAAAATGAAGTAAAAGAACTCACGATGGTGACTGCATCGTTGAGCAGGGACTCTCCGAAGACGCAAATATAGAGTAACTGGTTTACATGGATTTCTTCGAATACAGACAGTACGGCAACTGGATCAACAGCAGAAATCAGAGTGGAAAATAGTAAAATATCAATGAATGGTAATGTCCACTGATAGAGCGGAGAGAATACGTAGATGATACCAGCTGTTTACAAGCACAAGTGTTTACAAGTAGAAGTTCATCACATAGAATTCGTGCTACACAAAATTATTTGTACCTATTGCCATTATATTAAATAATGTTCCAACAACAGCGTACAGTAGAATGGTTCCGATGTTTGTGAAGAACGCATTATTCGGAAGAAAATACCCGGCATCAAGTGCTATCGGTGGCAAGAGATATAGAAAAAAGAGATCTGAAATTCATCTTCTTTAAACTTATTATTTCACGTAAATTCTTCCAGGTACTCCTAACAACTTTCTTCTTGTGATGGTTTTGAATTTTTTACCTACGATAATTCTTCCTTAAACATATGTTCTTGTACTTGCATGCATTGAAATAAACCTCATTATCAATTGGGAAGGAGAGAACATGCTCTATAGCTCTAATATGAAAAATTATACCTGGTATGCTCCAAAGTATATGTACCTGGATGTAAGTAGATGTCTAAGACCCATAATTCATCAAGTATTAGACCAACGATTAGTCCAAGAACAATCAGAAGTGCCGATTCCGGGAATATTTTCGCCAGAACATTTGATCGATGGAAAACTGGAAAGGCAAAAACTATTCCGTGGTCGATTAGTAACTGTACTTACACTGGTGTCTTTGTGATGATCTTTTCTCTCATGCACGTTAATTTACAGCCTGCGCAACACTTTCAGTGCATGGGCTTCGAGCATGTACGATTTTCTGTGTGTGTATTTGTACGTGTATGTACGTGATAAGGCGTGGAGGGTAGTGTGAAATGTGTAGAGGCGTCGAAAACACGTTCTCGTACAAAGCGACGTTTCTCTCAAAGATCGCTGGTTGTGTGTCGTTTATGAATGCGGGTACGTATATGTGGGTATACACTTGTACACGAGACCGACATGGTGTATACGTATTTGTAAGCACTTCTGTGTAAGCATAATGCCATTCCAAAATGTTTATTAGAATGGTGAGAAACACAAGATACACTGGTGAGGCTTAGCGAAGAGAAATCATTCACTAGGAAGATTCCTAGCTTCTTTTCAACTTAACCAACTTTATTGAGTTTAATAAAAGGAATAAAACATATAATATACTGCCATTTATTTGGTGAAACATAACAAGGAATCTGGAGTGAAGAAAACTAGATATTCAGAAAACCCCAGGACCGACTTTCTATTAAAGTAATTGAGTTGGTAGAGCGCGTGTCAGTTCGACTTTTGAAGGAGAAATCCACCGAAACATTAGGCAGTGTGAAAAAATTCGTAGTAACAAAATCGTGTCTGCTTATCAAAGAAACACTAACTAGGCTACTCATTAATAATAAAAATTTCTCATTTGCATGGATGTCGAGTGATGTTTAAATTTTGCCCGATGAATCTTGTGGGCGATGTGAAGCAAACTTAAAACTGAAGTTGTATTCACAAATTTTGAATAAGAGCAAACTTCTAATATATACTGTCGTTTATTTTCGTTTGCTAGTGAAATGCATTCCCAATAACACTTTTGCAGTACTTGGTTTTCTAATGATTTTTTCGACTTGGTGTTGTGACATCTCCATCGATAGACTCAATGACAAACATTTCAGTTCTACAGAGTGTAACATATGCCATTTATCAGCGAACACTCACCATTTTAGGTTGACCTTCAAATATTCAAATATTGTACAAAAAATCAAGGGTGCCGTCGAAAATTGAAACTATGACTGATTCAATACCTTTTACACACCGTAGACCAAAAAATGATGTAATACATTGGAAGAGAGCAATGTTGGGTAAGTTAATGAAGTGTAATCAATACAAGAGTGTTTGGCATGGAAACCGTTGTCTTTTAGGTTAACATCACGTGATGATGGGATGCTATTAGAATAGGCACACATACGGTGGATAAGTGTGGTTGTGCAAGTAATGAAATGAATGAGACAGAGCCAAATATATAGTTGATTGTTTATAAAACAAAAAATTTCGTCCGTGAAAATCATCACCATCTCTACGCTAGTACTCCATGGTGTTGTATTGCTGTTCTCAGTAGAACTGAGGAGTACGCAGTAGTACATTTAAAGATGATAAAAGAAACTCACGAATTCTGGCCATGATAATGAAAAACAACCACGCGGAAATAAGAAGCGGTGTACCAACATCATGCCATTGTAGTGCAGAGAACATCTGGGTTATTAACAAGTCATAAACGTGTTAAATAGCATGCATTAGTTAATAAATGCATGAGTATTGGTAATAAAAAATTTCTGTCAACTCTTAAACGCCTGTTCATGAGCGAATAACGTCTAATTCTGTAAATATACTAAGACATCATAGAAGAAAAATAGTTAAAATTGGTATGCGCAAGGTGTATAAATCAACGAGAAATCCCTCCAAGACGTTTCTTTTTTCGCAAAATTTTTCTTGTTACTTGAGTACACAGTAGGAGAATCACTACAGCAATCGCGTCAAATGGGCGGAACGACGTATCGTCTTGGAAAACTAATGAATAGCAAACAGCACATAAGGAATGAGAGATGGAGGAGGAGAAATGGTTGTAAGTCGTTGGTGTGCTGGTATCGCTATAATCTGGAGTGAGAAAACAAAATGCTGCACTCAAATGAGTCAGACGTCCATCAGAATACTTCCATCGTCTATCCCAGTACGCAGCGATGGATTCCTCAGTCAAGTCGACAACATAGCGAGAAAACACAGCACGGTGAAAAGATACTTGTGACGGTGTTCTCCCACAGCTCTTCTGCCTTTCTTAGTTTTAAATAGACGCTTCCCAACAAAACAATGCGCATCTTCATGATTCGTACTTTATGATGGCTGATCTTTCAGCAGCGCATGGGTTTGCTACGATCTTTTTTTCTATTAAAGCCTTTTTTCTTCACAGTGAGATTCTCTTAATCTCTGATATTTTAAGACAATGTGGCAGATAGCATGCTGCTACATAGATTGTTGACAAATAAAAATTAAACCCTAGAAAATGAGTGAGCAATTGGAAAATAAATAAATAAATTGATAAACAGACGTAGCATCTCACTAAAAATAAAGCAATTCTCGGTCTTCAATATACATTGAACTATACCACTCGCATAACCTCTATCGCCTGCAATTCCATCAATCATCGAGTAAGGTGAGCGGTTACCAACAATGTTTCCATTTCTCTCCATCTCGTCCCAGCCAGGCACGTGCGCCCGAAGGACACGAAAAGCATCGTACCTTTCATATTTTTATCGCATACCTTTTATTTATTTTTACGTTATCTGTCGTTACATTTATTTCATGAATCCCAGTATTTCCTGCATTCAGTTTGTTTTCCTCGCATTCATGTTCACAAACTTCCTCGATTACGTCGCATGCTGTTTCAGTTGTTGCTTGAGGATTTCGTCTACTTCATGGACTTTGCTGGTTACTGGACGAGTCGATTCTTCTTGTAATTTTGTAAATCTGATTCGAGAAATATACCACTGTTTTTTTTCAGACGACTAGTCACTGATGTTACAAAAAAGATAGGTAGGGAGGCTTTGCCGTTGACCACTGACCTTCACTCCCGTGTTATCTCATTGCAATCTCAACATTTTTTAGAATGATTACAAATTTTTGCGGAGTGACAGAAGTTTGTTAAATTCGCCTAGGTTGGTGGCAACATAGCTGTAGACTGGTGGAATTGTGGTTGTAATGTTTCATCATGTCTCGTGAACGATATTTGAATATGGAACAGGGACACCATGGTTACCCACACTTTCCACACCAACTCCTTGCTCAGCTGAGACGAAGGCTGTTTTTCAAGCTGGTGAAAGTGAGACAAAAAGTGAAAAGCCTGTATTTAGCTGAGTTTTGTTATCCTGTAAATACGATCTGTTTTACTGTGTCTTTTTAGAAACTCTCTTTCTTTACACGGCCGTTTTACCTCCAGTGGGGCAACACGAGTAAAGTGTGAGACTGTATTGATAATGCGCATTGCATGGAAGTATGACAATGGCGAGGTGGAGCTGTAATATTTTATTTGAGCTTGTTAATTTGCAAAAAAGCTTTTTTCACCAGCGTCTTGTTAGCTTGTCAATAAAAGAATGCATATAAATGGCTACTTTATCGGAACAGTTTGGCTACGATAAACGTGAAAGTGCCCCAAGATCCTTTCATAGAGCATACAGAAAGCAGCAGTGTCCAAGGAAAATTAAATTCTAAACTAACGAGTATGAAATTTTGTTTTCTGTGATTGCTTTACTTGAAGACGTCGTTTTCGAAAGTATCGACAAGGAATGTAATGGATCTTCAAATATCACTGCGACTGTGCTAAGAAAAAGTTACGGTTTTATACGTCAACTTTCATTCCACTTCAGTACGATAAATCAATGTAATGTTTCCCTGTTAAGATGACACGAGGTTGTTACAAAACTTGGATTATTCAAGATCTGATGAAGGCGAAGTGTTAGCCAAATAAACATTTCTTAAGAAGCTGGCGTTAGCCTATCAATTTAAAAATACATTCGCCACAGCTTCCTTTCACAATCTTGACACTTGACACTTGAACGGCCCGACCTCCGTGATTGTGCGAGCCCCAGCTTAATCGCCATTTATCGGAAATTTGCTGGTTAGGTCATTGTGGTTCCCTGGAATCCCAAGGTCAGCCTGACCAAAATCTGCCTCAGGTCATCACTACCACGGGCAATCACAGCCCTTGTGGATTATAGGGAGATTTGCCATCACGCGACTTTGATACCAGGACGCTGGTGGATCCTGGTATCGGTTTACTCCTAGCTAGGCTTCCTGATCGAAACGCCAATGAGAAACTAAGTAAGTAACTAAGTTAACTAAGTAACTTAACTAAGTAGCAAGAAAAGCAAAAAACAGCGCCAACCGCAGTCATATGACCCTCATAAGTCAGCATGGAGAAGCATGGGCTTCCAGCTGCTAGCACATTCTGGCCTTAACAAGCCCAACATTTAGGTTCTAAGAAATTTGAAGTGCCAAGACAACAATACGGCATATTTCGCAGGAACTGCACAGAATTCTGCTAGACTTACTGAAAAATCACAGCTCACGTACTTCCGACATTCTTTGGCACGCTTTTGCACTAATCGAACTGAGATATACAACGTACTTAAGAAACTACGCCGTTGTGCACAGATATTGTTATAAAGATACAGAAAGAAGAGATCAATCCATTACTGTAGAGGCAAACAGACCATGTTATGAGTCCAACTCCGCCTACACCTCAGGGCACATACGTTGTTCTACTGAAGTTTTAACCCATCATCCTCGCGTTTGTCACAGATGTTCGCTATGACTGATCTGATATTTTTCATTTGGAGATAGTTCGCTGCTGAGCGCAAATAGACAGAAAGCGAGAGACTAAACTCGCCTATATAATCGCCAATTCGTGGAATTTTTCAGGTTTCCACACACATACGCAAAACACGCAGACACACAAACACACTGACACACATGCAAGCACACAAATCGCACACACGCACTCTCACAGACACACACATATACACACAGACGCATGCAAACACTCCGTCACCACACACCACATACGCACTCTATCTATAAACTCACGCTCGCACACATCCCAGAGGATGGCGGGTTGGTTGCCCAAGAGCGGTGTCGAACTATGAGTTCATTGCAGTGAACCTGTATTAATATGCTAAATGTTTCCCAATGACACGCGAAAACCTCTGGCTAAATAAAAACAGATTTCTTTAAAAGTGAAGAAAATCGCATCAAAAACTTGCAAATTCACTTATTCAATTATTTATTAATATTTAACATTCGGTTTCTAAGGTCAGTGTATAGTGTAGTTGTTCACATGTAATAAATTGCGAAATAGACTAAAATCACCACAGAAAAACCATTTTTCCAAATTGTTAAGTGACTGGCCTTAATAATTTTCCACTTTCTCGCCTTAGAACATTAAGCCCCCGTTTTAAGTCCACTGCTCTTCAAAACTATGACAAAGTAGCTGGTGTAAGCGAATTACATGAGATTGGCATCCCATGATTTTCGTCATAAAAACTGAAGGAAAGGTATATCCTGACGATTGAAAGCCGTGCGTAAATACCGTGATTTCGAGTGGTAAATAAATAAAAACACGAGTTACACAGCTGATGCAGTGCGGCATTATTATGAAATCTGCCAACTCGACAAGGTCACCTAACTCATTCTATTCCCCGTTGCGAGTTCTTCTCACATGGCTGGCTGTCTGTGCAGCAGCGTGGTACTTTTACAAAATATCGTCGTTACTTTTTTCAGCTTTATTATCGAGTGCTTCAATTTCAGCACTCTCTATGCACTTATTGCATATTTCGGCTTGGTTAACAAGAGCATTGTTCCTGAAGAATGGCCTTCCTCTGGTCCGATTTCAAATCCATTTGTCACTGTTTCATATCGCTATAATGCAAAACTCAAATTTCCTACAGTAGGCAAGCGGTCAACCATGGAAAGTATGTTCTACAATCATTTACGAATCAAGAAATAAAGTGCTTCTTTCCAGATTAGTTTCTGTAATGTCTGATCTGTATCAATCTTCTTCCATCTCGCTGAGTTTAAATTTTGTAAAAACTTTTCTTTCAATAATCAAATAATCAAAAGGCAATTTAAGAGATACAAAGCCACCTATTTTTCAAGTAACTCTTTGAAAAACT